TTTTTTTTGGTTTTTGTTTTATCCCAACCCATTCCTTACATGTAGGTTCAATCTTCTCAGTATTTGGTTACTGGTTCAGTTGAAACCTGGAAAAGTAACTTTGTAGTAATGTGAATGTTAATCCAATTGTATATTGTTTACTTTATTGTAAATACTGGTGAACACTGGTCAATAAATAGTTTTATATTAAAAAAAACTTATACATAACAAAAAAGAATACAAGAGGGAAGAAAAAGGTCAAAATGGATGACAAAAGAGGCACTGAAACTTGCTCTCCAGCATAGAGATGCTAAAGCAAATGGAAGAAATCAGGAGGCACAAGAGCTGAACAGACAATTTCAAAGATCAGCCCGAGAAGATAAAGTTAAACATTACAACAAAATGTGCAAAGATCTGGAGTCAGAAAACCAAATGGAAAGAACATGCTCAGCATTTCTCAATCTGGGGGAAATTATTGAATGATGCAGATAGCATCAAAAGAAGATGGAAAGAATACACAGTCACTGTACCAAAAGGAAATGGTTGATATTTAGCCATTTCAAGAGGTAGCACATGATCCAGAGCCAATGAAACTGAAGGAGGAAATCCAAGGTGCATTGAAGGAATTAGCAAAGAACATGATGGAATAAAATATTGAAATATTTCAAGAAAGTGAAGTGGCACAGGAGATCCATATTTCTGCCCATTCCAAAGAGAGGTGACTCAATGGAATGCAGAAATCATCGGACAATATCTTTGATATCCCATGCAAGTAAAGTTTTACTAAATGTAATACAGAAATGGCTGCAAACATACATTGACAGAGAACTTCCAGAGGTTCAAGCTGGATTCAGAAGAGGATGAGGAACGAAGGATATCATTGCTGATGTCCGATGGATCTTGGCTGAAAGCAGAGAGTATCAGAAAGATGTTTACCTGTGCTTTATTGACTACGCAAAGGTTTTCAATTGTATGGATCATGACAAGCTATGGACAACATTGCAAAGTATGAGTATTCTGGAACACTTAATTATGCCTATGAGAAATCTGTACATGGACCAAGAGGCAGTTATTCAAATAGAACATGGGAACACTAAATGGTTTAAAATTAAGAAAGGTGTTAGACAGGGTTGTATTCTTTCACCATACTTATTTAACCTGCATGTTGTTGTTGTTGTTGTTGCTACGTGCCGTGGAGTCAGTTCCAACTCATAGGGACCCTCTACAGGGTTTCCGAGGCTGCAAATCTTTACAGGAGCAGAAAGCCTCATCTTTCTCCCACGGAACAGCTGGTAATTTCGAACTGCTAACTGTGAGATTAGCAGCCCATTTTTTAACCACTACGCTACCAGAGCTCCTTTATTTAACCTGTATACTGAGCAAATAATCCGAGAAGCTGGGTTATATGAAGAAAAACATGGCATCAGGATTGGAGGAAGACTCATTAACAACCTGCGATATCAAATGATACAACCTTGTTTGCTGAAAGTGAAGAGGACATAAATATTTACTGATGAAGATCAAAGAGCACAGCCTTCGGTATGGATTGCATCTCAATGTAAAGAAAACAAAAATCCTCACCACTGGAACAATAAACAACATTCTTATCAATGGAGAAAAGATTGAAGATGTTAAGGAATTCATTCTTCTTGGATCAACTATCAACACTCATGGAAGCAGCACTCAAGGAATCAAATTACGTATTGCATTAGGCAAATCTGCTGTACAAGACCTTTGTAAAATGTTGAAGAGCGAAGATGTCAGCTTGAAGACTAAGGTGCGCCTGACCCAAGTCATGGTATTTTCAACAACCTCATATGCATGCGAAAGCTGGACAGTGAATAAGGAAGACTGTAGAAGAATTGATGCTTTTGAGTTATGGTGTTGTAGGAGAATATTTAAAGTGCCATGGGTTGCCAAAAGAACCAGCAGACCTGTGTAGGAAGAAGTTCAGCCAGAGAACTCCTTGGAGGCCAGGATGGCCAAACTTCATCTCTAATACTTCAGACATATTGTCAGGAGGGATCAGTTGCTTTAGAAGGGTATCATGTTTGTTAAGGTGGAAGTTCAAAGATAAAGAGGAAGACCCCCAGCCAGATGGATTGGCAAAGTGGCAGCATCAATGGACTCAAACCTGGCAACAACAGTGAGGTAGAACCTGGATCGGGCAGTGTTTTGCTCTGCTGTGCATTAGGTCACTATGAGTCGGTACCGACTATGGCACCTAACAACAACAACAACATTAAGAAAGAGATCCAGAAGAAAGTAAGCAGTGGCTTAGCAAATAAAAGGTAGAACTTCACTAGCTTCACTAACACAGTTGTTGTTGCTGTTGTTGTTAAGTAACGTACTACAGATTTATATAGGAAAGGGAACTTGGGAGGAATATGAAAGATACAGTGGAAATTATACCCACATTAAGTCAATCTTTAGAAACCTAAGAGGCCTTTTTGCTGTTGTTAGGTGCCGTCGAAATGGTTCCTACTCATAGGATCTCTATATAGGGATTCCAAGGAGCAACTATTCGATTTGAAACACTGAAATTGCAGTAAGCATATTAGTCCTTATCCTACAGCACCACGCAAGGACTCAGACGAAGATTAGCTCACACAGGAGTCATAGAAAGATGACACTACGGTATATTATAAAGAGAACTGAGTTAAGATTCCTAAAAATTACTATATTCTAGCCTGAATCCATGGAGTCCTTGTAATGGTTCTATAGGATAAGCACTGGGCTGGTAATCACAATATCAGAAGTTCAAACCCAC